GCCTTCCGACAATCAGTCTGCTTTTACGGAAAGAGGCCTCCCCGCCCTGGGCAGCAGTCAGGGCCACCTCCTCCCACTCCTGAGCCTGGCTGCGGGCTGTGCAGAGGGCTCTGCACCCCTCCCCTCCCCCCACCAGGGTCCAGCTGGAGAGCAAGGCTTTTCTCAGGCTAAAGGCCCTGGCCGGGCCTCGGCTCCATGGAGCCCTGCACTGGGTGAGGGCGCCGGCCTGTGTTATGGGAGCTGCGGGGTAAACCTCCACTGCCCTGCCCTTAGAGAACACAAGTCCACACAATGGCTAAGACTGGAAACAGCCCAAGTGCCCATGTAGGTGAGTGGATAAAAAAGCTGCGGTATGCCCAGCTGGTGTGGCTCAGTGGTTGAGTGTAGACCTATGAACCCAGAGGTCATGGTTCAACTCCCAGTGAGGGCACATGCCAGGGTTGCAGGCTCAGTCTCCAGTGTGGGGCATGCAGAAGGCAGCTGATCAATGATTTTCTCTCATCACTATGTTTCTATGTCTCTATCCCCCTCTCTTCCTCTCTGAAATCTATCTATCTATATATATCTATCTATCTATCTATCTATCTATATATATATATATATATATATATATATTTTTTTTTTTTTGAAAGGAAAGAAACTGGCAAATAAAATATACCCAGAGACATGGAAGCATGCAGCAGACAGAATTCTCAGAGAGAGGATGGGGTGGGAAGAGATGAACAGATATGCATACTAGAGGCCCAGTGCACGAATTCCTGCACGGATGGGGTCTGGCTGGCCCAGCTCGGATAGGGGCAGATTGGGGCTGGGCCTGTTGGGAGGAGGAGATGGTGGGAGGCTGGCTGGCTAGCCTGCCCCAATCAGGGCCGTGCCAGCCAGAGGGGAGAGCCGTGGGCAATTGGCCAGCAGACCCCATCCCTGATTGGAGGGCCGGGGACGGTCAGGGGAAGGGCTGTGGATAGTAGCCGCTGGCCTTGCCCCTTATCCTAGTTGGGAGGGGGCGATCAGGAGCCTATCAGGGGAAGGGCTCATCAGGAGGAGGGGCCACAAGCAGTTGGCTGGCCAGTCCCACCCTCTAGTGGGATAAGGGGGTGATCGGGGCGTGGCCAATTTGGAGCAGGGCTGGTTTCGGTTTCGGGGAGAGGCCACGGGAGGCTGGCTGGCCAGCCTCACCCTGAATTGGGCCAGTTCGCTGGCCGCAGTGAGCATCATAGTGACTGGTCAGTCGGTCATTACAGGATTCTGGTCACCAGCTTTTCATATGTATATGCATAACCCATATGAATATGCATAACCCATAATTCCAGCTGCCTTCTGCATGCCCCACACTGGAGACTGAGACACAGACGATAGTGGGGTGAAGGCCTGGGTAGGGGTGGGAATGGGGAGGAGTGGAGGCAAAAAGGAACATCTATAATAGTTTCAGTAATAAAGATACATTTTCCTATATAATAAAGAGGTAATTAACCCTCACACCCTCACAAAAGATAGCCGCCTCCATGTAATCAAAGACAGCTGCTACAAATGGGAAGGGCAGTTGGGGGCAACCAGGCCAGCAGTGGAGGGCAGTTAGGGGCGACCAGGCCGGCAGGGGAGGGCATTTGGGGGAAACCAGGCCTGCAGGGGAGTACAGTTGGGGGCACCCAGGCCAGCAAGGGAGGGCAGTTGGGGGTGATCGGGCTGGCAGGGGAGCAGTCAGGTGTTGATCAAGCTGACCAGGGAGTGGTTAGGGGGTGATCAGGCTGGCAGGCAGGCAAGAGTTGGGAGCCACCAGTCATGGATTGTGAAGGGGATGTCCCCCTGTGGATCGGGCCTAAACCAGAAGTCAGACATCTCTTGAAGATTCCCAGATTGGAGAGGATGCAGGCTGGGCTGAGGGACCAGTGCATGAATTTCGTAAAAAATCCAAATCCAATTTCCATAGAATCTTGGTGTACTATGTGAATGAGGAGCAACTGTCAGCAGGGGAGGCCCCATCCTCAGCGTGCAGCACAGCCTCAGCAGCACAGCTTGCCTAGGTCCAGGCTGTGTGTCCTTGGGCAGATTCCTTAACATCTCTGGGCTGAATTCCCTTGTCTAAGAATGGCAATATGATGCTTAGTGCTTCACAGTGCTGTGATGGGGGCTAAGTAGCTGGCACAGTTATGTGTCCTGGGCTCAGCATGACTGCCAGTTTGTCTCACAGCCTGGTTGCTGCGGGAGCCCAGCCCACACAGACTGCAAGGTGTGGAGGGCTGGGGTGGAAGCCTGACACCCCGAGGTCACACCTCGGACCGGGTGCTCCCCGTGGGGGACGGATGACCCCGCCTGCCTCACAGGGGGGACCGCCCTGTGACGGGAAGTCCGAACTCCAGGGGCGCCCCTTCCTGAGCCCTGCCTGTCTGGGTGCCATGCGGCCTCAGAATGGGGGCAGGGCTGTGTGCTCTGGAGACAGAGGCGGCGGCAGAGCCGCTTGGCTCCTCTCTGTGCCTGTGATGGCTTCTGGGCAAGATTATGTTCCTGTGTGTGGGGGTGGGGGGGGGGGATAAAGTGGGGGAATCTCGGCTAAAGGGAGTAACAAAGCCTTAATGCTGTGCGGCCTGGCTGCTGAGCTGAGACATGGCCCGTCTGAACAGGGGAGTGCTGTGTGTGCAGGATACTGAAGGTAGTTTAAGGAAAGGATGCAAAATGTCTTATTGATCATTCGTTTACTTGGTTATACATTGAGATGATAGTGTGACTATACTGGGCTTCCGCAGCCCGCCCTGGAGCCGCATTAGTCCCCCCCCCCCCCAATGTGACACGGCCCCCCACAATGTGACACGGCCCCCCACAATGTGACACGGCCCCCCACAATGTGACACGGCTCCCATGGCGGGAGCGATGGGCGGTCAGCGATGGGCCTGGCCCCGGGCCCCAGCCCCCCCCCCCCCCCCCCCCCCCGCCCCAGCCCCTTTCCAGGCCCGCGCCCTGCCCCCCCGCGGGTCCCTGCACCCTCCCACCAGCCCGCTTTCAAAGCCCAGGACCCCGAGGCCCACAGAGGCCCAGCCGGATCCCCAAGGACCCGCCCCGGCGGCCGCCCCCCGCCCCCCTGAGCCTCCCGAGCGCCAGGGAAGACCGGACACCAGGCCGGGCCGGCTGTCCCAACCTGTGACAGTCCATCTGAAGCCCGGCCGCAGCCGCTGACTCCCCCACCCCGTCTCCGCCCCAGCCCCGCCGTCACCTCCCACCGCCCTGGCGACCCCGCCACCCAGGTCACCCCCAGCCCAGCCCCCGCCCCGCCAGGAGGAGCGAGGGAGGCGGCTCTCCGGCTCGCCCGGCGCTCCCCCCTCCCCCCGGGGGGAGGGCGTCTGGCCCCGCTGCTCCCGCCTCCCCCTCCCCTGCCCGCCGCCGCTGGCACTCTCCCGGGGATTTAACTCCCAGCCCGTGTCCCTGCCTCCCAGGGCACACAGGGCACCGCCCTCACCCAGAGCGCCGGGCGGAGTGACAGCTCAGCACCGGCTGCAAAGGACACCGCGGGAGCACCGGGCGCCGGGCCGCCGGGAGCACCGAGCGCCGGGCCGCCCACATAAAGAGCTGTCACTCTTGCGCGGCTCAATATCTCTGTCTCCCCTGTTCCCGGGCCACAGTGAGAGAACTTAGACATCCTCTCCCACACTGCTCCCCAGCTCTCCTGCCAGGCACCCAGCAGCCTCCTCCTGCCCCCCACCCGCTGCCCCATTCTTTCCCAAGCAAGACAGGGACCTCTTCACTTCCTGCCACACGCCAGGTTCACTACCTGGAAAAAGGTATGTGTGCAGTGATTCAGGGGTGTGTGTGTGTGTGTGTGTGTGTGTGTGAAGAACAGTTCGTATTACTCCTGCAAGTGGAAAATGGTTAATACTTTTTCTATAAGTTCAAAATGGCCGTAAGAATAAATATGTTGAAAGTAGAATGCTTTAAGCCCAGCCGGTGTGGCTCAGTGGCTTGACTTGATCGCATGGACCAAAAGGTTCCTGGTTCAGTTCTGGTCAGAGTACATGCCCAGGCTCGATGCCCAGTAGGGGTCGTGCAGGAACAGCATATTGTTGTTTCTATTGCTCTCTCCCTTACTCTATCTAAAAATCAATAACAAAAAAAATTTTTAAGCATAATGTTTGAATAAAAAGTGTCTGCCTGCCTAACACCCTATCTGGTCCAGGCTATCCCTCTGAGAACCCTGTCATCCGTTATTCCTGGTGTTCGGCCACCAGACCATGCAGCTCACAGCCTCTTCTCTCCCCACACTCCTCTCGCCACTGCCAATGGGCACACACAGTTCTCACCAGCACCCTGAGCACCAGGCCTCTGAGCACTGAGCGTTCCTGGTCACTTCCTTTGCTGAGGGACTCCTCTGGGCAGAGCTGGGTCTCTGGTGCTGCTGAGGAGATGGCCTGGCCCGGCCCTGCCCTCCCGGAGTGCCCAGCCCACGTCCCGAGGGAAGGAGGGGCCACGCAGCGCTGCCAGCACTCTGGCCTGAGGGCACCCCCTGCAGGCCAGGGCGCCAGGGCCTTCCCCAGCAGGGAGGCACCTGCTGAGAGCCCTCAGCTCTGAGCAGGAACAGGCCAGCTGAGAGCTGCCTGGGCTCTGGGGAGCAGGCCAGGTTTTGGCTAGGAAAGAGGGGGTCCTGGGCTGAGCCCTCATTCCTGTGAGGGGGTCCTGGGCAGTGAGAAGAACGGGACAGTGTGATGGAAGGGAGAGCCCTGTGCTCAGCCACAGTCAGGCCCTGTGCTGGCCTCTGCCACCTCACCTGTGCTTCCCCCTCCCGTCCCCCTGCCTCAGCGGAGGAGGCCAAAGACCGACAGGCTGAGCAGCGTGCCAGGGTCCCTGCGGGGCAGTGCGGCTGCCCAAAGCCCACAGCACTGCTGGTACAGCTGCCCACCCTCTGGCTTGAGCCAGAACCAGACTCCTGGAGGAACCAGCTGCCCCGAAACCCTCTCCTCTCGCCTTGAGCCTGGAATCCCAGGCCAGGAGTGTCCTCTCCCCGCCAGCGGGAGGCTCATCCCAGCTGGCACTGCCCACCTGTCTCTCCAGCGCCAGCGGCGGGGCTCCACAGGGATCTGGCCCACACGGGGCCTCAGTAGCAGGACCCCCCTGAGCACCATTCTCCTGGGAGCCAACCTCTGCAGCCACACCCAGCCTGACGGTCCCGCCCCTCTCACCTGGCTGGTAGACAGAAGGCCGGATGCTGGCAGTGGTGACCACCCGAGGCTTGGGCGCAGTCGCAGCTGGGGCTTCGGGGTATGTGTGGGCGGCAGGTGCCGGAGCTGTCGCCTTGGCCGAGCCCTGAGCAGAGGCCTGGGGCCTGGAACCGAGGGGGGAGAGTTAGCAGCCGGAAGGACAGCCAGGCCTGGGTGCTGGCGGCCCGGCATCGCTTCTCGGTCCTCGGGAGCCCCGCAGAGAGGCCTCTGGCAGGGGGTCCGGGCAGCCTGAGGCCGCAGGGAGACCATGAGGCTGTGGAGGGGCGGACGCTGCTCCTCGGTGAGGAGCTTTGGTGAGTTTCGTTAAAGCAGCAAAGACACCTCAAAAAACAGAGCCCATTGCTGCTGTCACCCCCTCAGAGAGGGAGGGGCCAAACCGCCAGCTGGACAGGAGGGAGATCCTGCACCCTGGGCGGGCTGCCAGGACAGCCTGGGGCTGGAGGGACAGAGGCTGGAGAGAGGAGAGATGGAGGCAGTCAGAGCTGCCCCCTCCCTCCACCTTCTGACCTTGGGGGCACTCCACAGCCTTAGCCCCTGCCCCCCGCCCCATCTTCCTGCTGTTGCTGGAGGGAGCAGTAAAGTCTGGGCAAGAGTGCTCCAGCACGGAGACCTCGCCCAGACCGCTTCTCTTCACATGGAGTGCCAACCTCTCCCGCGGGCTGGCCCCGGGCGGAGCCAGCCTTTTCCCACCTGTGGCCGTGTTAGGGGCCAAAGAGAAGAAGGAAGGCCTGTGCATTCCCGCAGGACAGGCTGAGCGAGGCCTCTTCCCCAGGGCTGAAAGCTCCAAGAACCCCTGGCTCAGCAGCTGTTTCACTTCGGCTGGTCCCATGCCCCCATTTCACCTGTCTGCCCCCTTTCTTTTCTCATCTAAGACGAAAGAACGCCTTACAGAGCGTGCCCTGGTCTCTCCTGCATTTTCCCGATCCCAACCGGGACCACGTGACCACATCCAGGGGAAACGGGGTGCTAGAGAGGCGAGCCCCTGGAGATGTGCTGTCCCCCCACCCATGGCTTCCGCCTTCCCCCAACCTGAACTGGATGCCCAGGTGTCCTGCTGGGCAGAGCCCCAGGAGCCGGCCTGCCTTGTCCCCTGCTCTGAAGGGGGGCCCTGACCCAAGACCCTCTGCCTCACACAGAGCCTCAGCCCGGCGTCCGGCGGTGGAGTGCAGCTCGCCCTGCCACACTGCCATGCTGTCTGCCCTCCCGGGCCTGCTCTTCTCTGGCCGGCCTGTTGGGTAGGGGCCTCGCTGGGAGAGGAGGAGGCAGGTCTGCAGGGCGCCTGCTTTCTAGTTATGGGCATCAGCCAGATGTCCTCCCCTGCGGAGGCCTCCCGACACCCCAGGAGCTGGGGTCCTGTCAGGGCTGCTGGAGGAGGAGGAGGAGGAGGAGGAGGAGGAGGAGGAGGAGGAGGAGGAGGAGGCCGAGGCTTAGAATACTCAGCAAAAACTGGAGGCCAGGCTCTGGTGACAGTCTGGGTGGCCCTTTGCCTCCCACTGGCTCATCACTCTCTTGTAAGACAAAGGGAAGGGAGGTTTGCCTGTTGAAGGAGCCCTGAGGACAAAGGCCTGAGCTGGAGCAGGGCCCACAGCTACAGCTCCCCAATCCAAACGGGGGGCACCTTTCATCTCAGCCCAGGACCTCTCCCTCCTCTCCTTCTCTGAGTTGCCCGCCCGGGGCCATGCTGCTGTGCGGAGGGAAGCACTCGCTAAGGGCCCTCTGGAAGCTGGGACAGAAAACCGAGCGGCGAGCTCACCCTGAGGCTTGAGTTGGGCTGGAAAGGCTGGGCCAGCACCTCCGGGGGTCACTGTCAGCCCCAGGGTGGGTACAGCCCACAGGCCTGTGGCCAATCTGCCCCCCATCCTCCTCAGGCTGCACGGGGGCTGTGCTCCCAGCTCAGAGAGGCTCATCCTCCCACAAACCCCGGCGCCGTGCGGGGGAGGGGGGCGCAGACTGAGAGCTGGCTCTGGCCTAACACCTGCTGAGCGTCCCACCCCAGCCCGTTGCGGGGCCCAGGGGGCAGGCGGAGGCTGAGAGCACTCCGTGTGCTCGGAGGCTTAGGCACACTTCTCTGCCCCGCCCTGCAAGCCTCCCCGCACTCACGGCTGAGCAGATGAAACTGACGCTGGGAGCTCGGGGACTGTCTGGAGTTGCGGACAGGAAGTGGCGGGAGAGGTGGAAGCCGCCCTGCACCTGTGCCTCCTGCTTCTCCGCCCCGAGAGCAGAGGCCACGGCCAAGGGCAAGTCCGCTGCCAAATACCTGCTCTGTCTCCTGTGACAGGTCAATGCTCCTCCCTGCTCGGAGCTTCCCTCGGCTTCCCCAGCCCAGGGGACCTCTTCCACGCCCCTAATCCCGTTCCGGAAACCGACTGTCCGTCTCCCTTTGCTATCTTACTGTGTGTGTGCATGCGTGCATACGTGTGTGTGTGTATGCGTGCGTGCATGCGTGTGCTTGTGTGATGGGGGGGTCCCTCTCTTGCCCAAAGAGAGGGCAGGGCTCCACATTCCCTCCTGTCTTCAGCTACACCCACATGCCCTGCCCTCCTGGGCCCAGGCTCCTGAGCACCTGGGCGGCCTTTCTGAGGTGGGACACAGCTGCCCACACACGGGGCCAGGTGCGGCCACTCCCGCCTCCCTGCCCCATACCGGTGGCACCGTGGGCAGTTACCTTGGACTGTCCGCAGGGCTTGAAGCAGAGGCCGAGGCAGCGGCAGCAGCAGCGTGGGCAGCGGTTGCAGCCAGGGGTGGCGAGGCTGCGCCAGGAGAGGCAGCCATAGGCGGCGGGGCAGAAGCGGGCAGCAGCGGGGTGGCGGCCTGGCTGGTGCACACTGGAGCATGCTCAATAGGGGTGCTGACGAGGTGGGACCAAGAAAGACAACAGGTCAAGGGGGCCCTCTGCATGGCGCTGGTGGCTCCAGCAGAGGCACGCTGCAGAGTAGGATCTTCCAGATGCCTGCTCCCAGCCTCAGGGAGAGTCCCTCATAGGGAAGGGCTCAGACCATGAGAAGGATCACAGGAACATCAACATTATTCTCAAGCCTGGTACGAACCCCATTTTTACATGTATATGCTATTTGTTGATTTCCGAGAGGAAGGGAGGGAGAGAGAAACATCAATGCTGAGAAAGGTCATTGATCGGCTGCCTCCTGCATGCCCCACTCTGCCACCTGGGCGTGCGCCCTCCCTTGGAATCGAACTATGACTTCCTGGTTCACAGGTTGTCCTCCCGTTTTTTTGCTTCCTGATTTTTCGTGTTACAAAACACAGTGTGATGGAAAGTAGATTGAATTTTCAACCCCTATCCTGCTTTCCTCCATTCCCATTCGGTCAGAGGCGCACGTGGCCTTGGAGAAAAGGAGGGGAGGTATTTGAGGGCCAAGGGCTTAGGCTCTAGAGTGGCGAGAGCCTGGGCTCTGAGGCTGTGGGAGACTGGCACATCGGAAGATGGATGAAAGCTGCCATGCCCAGTTGGTCAAGGTCATCTGGACCGGAAAGGATTGATGTGGTGTGGGGGTTCCAGAATAGAGGCAACTGTGCCCCTTTCCCGGTAAACCCAGAGAGGCGGCAGGACCTCAGGGTCTCCCATGCCCATGGGGAAGGAGCGGGCAGACCTAAGGCCATCCGAAGATGCCCAGGCCCTTATGTGCCCTGGCGGCCAGAGGGTTCTCACATGCCCAAGAGTGACATGCGGAGGCCCTGGGTGCCTACACATCGGAAAGACCTGTGGTTGGGAACGGGAGGGGCTGAAGTGCCAGTGTGACCAGTGTGACCAGTGTGACCAGGTGGGTAGGGCTATCCCGGCAGGTGCCACACAGGTAGATGGACCAGGGCCAGGTGCCATGGGCCCGCCCTGCCTGCCTTGCTGTCCGTGAGCATCTCTTCCCCGAACCTCTCCAAGGGAGAAGGGGCACCAGAGCCTGGGCTCAGCCCTGGGAAACTGGGCAGAGAAACCAACCCGGTGACAGGAGAGAGAAGAAGGGCATTCTCTGCTCCCGCCCCCGTCTGAGACGGTGCACAGAGCAGGAGCTGCGGCTCCCGCCCGGGGTGGCTGCGCGGAGCCTATTGTTGACCTGGCCCGTGTGCCCGGCGTGTGTCTCAGTCCTCACCGCCGCCCTCGGATGTGGATATTAGCAACTCCACCCCCAGACAGGAAGGAGACAGAGTTCAGGCCCTGGAGCAGGGCTGACGGCGGGATCTGGCCGAGGGACGCGTGGCCCTCCGGGAGGAAGGAAGAAGTCGGGCAAGTAGGGCCTTCCCCCAGCAAAAGGCATCTCTGTGGGAAGGACGGTGAGTGCGGCCTGGCCATCGCCAGCTGTGCTGACAGGCGGTGAGCATTACCCCTCTGACCCCCTCTCCTGCAGCCATCGCTATCAGACCCTCATTTTCCAGGAGAGGAGCCTGAGCCCTCACTGCTGCCTGCTGCCCCCCGCAGCCTTCCCGGGCCTGAGCTCAGGGGGAGCCCCCTGCAGCCTTCCCTGGCAGTGGAGGCCTGGGGGTCCTGCCCAAGAGCAGCTTCTGATTTGGGAGGTTGAGTGGGGCCCCGGGTGACGCTGGCCCGAGGACCGCCCGGGAGTAGCCAGGCGCTGCCCAGTCAGCCCCAGGCAGGGATGCAGAGGCTGCGAGCTGTTTGCCAGGCACCACTGGCTGCTCTCCTCCCTCAGTGAGGGTGCGGCGGAGGGAGCCACGGAGGGCTGGGAGCGGGCTGGAGAAGGCCTCCCCTGGCGGGGAGCACCCTGAGCAGGGCAGTGCCCCGTCCTGCCAGCCCCGCCCCAGCTTTAGTTCAGAAAGGACACCCCACTGAGGCCCGCTGCACACCGGCCCGCCCTCATGGGGGAACCTGGCTTCCGGCAGCTTTTCTGGGAAGCGGCTGCAGCTCCTGGAGCCGTTCTGCCCACTGCCGCGAGGCCTGGGCACGCCGAGAACACCAGCCGCCTTCTCCCTCACCTGGCCAGGCTCCGGGGCTTCTGGGAGCCCAGGCCGCTGCCCAGGACCGGAGGGATGCCGATGTCTGGGCGGGGACAGTGCTGCACAGACAAACCAAACGTTGACTTTGTCCCCTGTGCTCCAATTCTGGTCAGACCGGCTTACCTGGTGTCTCCCAGGCACAGCTCCCAGTGAGCCCTGGCTCCGGGGCGCGGGCCCCAGGAGCACTCAAATCACAGAGCGGCACAGGGGCAGGGGCGAGCCGCCCTGGGGCCTGGCGAGTGGCATCGCGCCCAGCAGCACCGTCTGCAGCCCCCACGCAGCAGGCCCCGGACAGCGGGCAGCACGTGCCCAGGGTCCTGTCCGGGCCGCTTTCTGCCTGAAGCCGGAGCCACGAAATCCCCCCCGCCAGGCCAAGGCCTCTCGCCTTGGTCATAATTCACTCTAAATATCTAACAAGCACCAAACCAAACCAACTGCATTCAGCCACACAGGCCCCCGGGCAGGCGTGGCGAGAGGGAACGGCTGGCTCCGTCCCCTTTGCAGCCCCTCGGCCCTCCACACAGCCGGCATCAGGTGGAGCTCGCCAGCCCTGGGCCCTGCTCGCGCTCCTCTGGTTGATGCCAGAGGCGTTGGGTGTGGAAGGACATGTGGACGGACTGGTGAGGTGCTGGGCTTGGGCTCCGTGATTACTGGGTTCAGGCTGACCTGTTGGTGACGGTGGAGGTGTTGTGGTTGAAGGTGCTGGGGTGCTATTATTGGGGTGACAGTGCACATTGTGTTAGTTCAGAGAATGGAGCATGAACATCTCACTGACTGGACTACAGAGCCAGTTGGTTGGTCTTTAAGTGTCCACGCTGCCATCCGCCTGGCCAGCGTTCCGTCCCACAGCCTGAGGACTGGCTGTGGCTCAGGCGCCCTGACCACGTACTCCACAGGTCACCGCCGGGCCCGTGGACACTGCAGTCTGTGCAAACGACAACCTCAGGACCAGGCCCGCTCCCCACAGCCACAGCGCTCGGCACCCTCCACTGGCTCCAGCCACAGTCCAACCCCACAGCCAACGCCCTCCGTACTGCCTCCACCAGCCACAGGGCTAACTCGGGGTTCCGGGGCACCCCTTCTCCCCGTCCAGCCTTCCGACCTGCACAGCCACCTAACTGCTCCCGAGGGCCAGTCAGGCTCCTTCTCCCGGGAAGCTCTCTCCGGTACCCAGTCCAGGGGCACGCCTGCCTCGACCTCATGCAAGCAGCCCTGCCGCAGAGCCAGCCACGGCCACGCCAGCACTTTCTCATTCTGTGGCACCCCCGCAGCCAGAGGACAGCCCCGCACAGAGGGCTGCCTGCGGGGGCCGGTGGGCGGCCCTGGGAACTTCCAGAGCGCCAGGAGGGCTTCCACACCCGGGCTTGGGACAGGGAACTGCGAGGCCACTGGTTCTGACTGACTGGCTCAGGTCCTCTGTCAGCCCCAGGACACTCTCTGGGAGCCCCCAGCCACACAACCCACCCAGGGGTCTCAGCTAAACATGTGCATGCGCTCAGGAGGCCTCGGTGCAGGCAGGAGCGCGCCCCATCTCCCGGCTGGTCCCTCAGCACACTGGCCCTGCCTGGCCCAGGGCAGAGCTAGAAACGGGAAGAGATAGGCCCAGACGGAGAGGGGCAGGGGTTGGAGAGTATCTGGGATGTGGCAGGATAGAGCAGCTATCCTGAGGGATCGCCAGGTTCCTGGAGGCAGAGAGGAAGCCTGTGCCCAGGCAGCAGGAGCGGAGCAGACTGGCCAATCCAGGCGGCCAGGGTGTCCGAGGGGTGTGGCATCTGCTCTGTTTGCTCAGTGCAGTTGGCGCCATGTTCTCAGCCCTGGGCTCTGCTTTCAGGAGCCAGGCTGATGGATTGGCAGAAGGTGAGAGGAGATGACCTGCCAGCCTGGCCCTTCCCAAACGCTCTGTACAGGACAGGCCCAGGTGGGTGGCGCAGGGCCAGCAAGACCAGCTGGAGGTCCCCTGCGCCTTCCTGACTAGCTAGACTCCAGGGCACCTCCTCCGCCTCCTCTCCCTGTGCCTGCCCCTCCGTGCAGGCATGCCCTCCCGAGCCCCTGTGCCCCGGCATAGGGCAGAGCAGGGGCAGTGCTTTCCTGGCTGCAGCTGGGGGTAGCAGCAGAGGCAGGGGCCCTTGTGCACCCACCAATATACACTGCCCCATGGGACCCAGGTCTGCCCACCTGGCACAGCACAGCTCACAACCCAGGCAGGCCCTTGTGGGGGAAACGGGGAGAGCAGAGCCCCTGGGGCCTGTCCCTCCCTGGCTCTGCGCCTCTGGGTGATGCACCCGCACAGCAGGACTGAGGCCGGTTTGTTCTTTCAAATCCTTTTTATTTCAGAGTGAGCATGCTTGTCTGTGCGGAGGGGGCGGGCAGCTAGCACACGGCAGGAGGGAGAGCACATGCCAGCCTCACCTCGGGGGAGGGTCTGCCCCATCCACCCTGGGCTCCCTCTCCTCCGGCTCCGGCTCAGGGGGCAGCGAGGGAGGGGGTGGGGCAGGGGTCCGCCTCCTCCCAGGACCTGCTCTAACTGGAGAGTATCTGGGATGTGGCAGGATAGAGCAGTTATCCTGAGGGGCAGGGGATCCACCAGGGGCTGTTCCCCTGGTTCCGGGTGTTAGACCAGCAAACCCCATCCCTCCTCTCTGAACGAGGCTACGGCCCTGGGCGGGGAGAGGCGCGGGCTGCTGGGGGGAGGGGGCATGAGGAGGTGCGTGGGTGCGGGGCCGCCCTGACTACGAAGGGGCACAGCTCTGCATAGTCAAGCATCGCGTGAGGCTCACACGCCAGGTCTGTGGGGAGTGGCGGTGGGGGCTGCAGACTCTTTAGCTTTTAACGTTAAGGATTTGGGCTGAAAGGCCATGGTGCCAGTTGCGCAATTTGGCAAAACGT